GGTGTTTTCAGAGTCTGAAGATTAGATCATCAGAATGTACTTTTTTAGGTACACAATAATAACAGGTAAGTACCCCTCAAGATACACTTCCTGTTAAAGATACACTTCCTGTTAAAGATACATTTCCTGTTAAAGATACACTTCCTGTTAAAGATACACTTCCTGTTAAAGATACACTTCCTGTTAACTAGCTAAATCCTGTGTAACACCTAGTAATTACATTGAACTTCTGCAGATATTGCATGTACTCAGTGGTGTACTAGTGTGTACTCTGTATAAACATGTACTCTGTGGTGTACTAGTGTGTACTCTGTATGAACATGTACTCTGTGGTGTACTAGTGTGTACTCTGTATGAACATGTACTCTGTGTTGAGTTTGTTGGTTTATCCTCTCTCTTGGATGGCAAGGAGGTTCAGGTTGTCATAATGGGTAACGTGCACATTTCATTTATTAAAGTTCATAATTTCATAAATTCATAAAGTATTTTTTTTTTAAATAATCTGGCATGACACCAGTATGGTAGACTATATCTGAACTGTTTTTTTTTGTAAACTCAACCAATTTATACCCTTTTTAGTAAAAAGTTTTAGGTGCAAGTGCTAGCAAGAACATTGAGTGCAGATTTTGAAGAGTGTTCATTAGCCTCTATTGATCCTCCAACCTGTAACCTCTGGCACCCAGCGCATCTGTCCACAAGAGATTACAACCTCGTGACGGTCGTTACCTAATCGGATACAGCTGACAAGAAACCAAACGCTCAATTTAGTGGAAACTTGTCCATTTTGTAACAAGCATGGTAGCATGGTAACAACTACAATACTTGTCACAGTGAAACGCTTTACAGATACCCATCGTGCAAACAGCAGGCAATGCAGAAGCAGTGGCACAACTCCCTAGAAGGCAGGAACCTAGGAAGAAACCTAGAGAGGAACCAGGCTCTGAGGGGAAAAACTCCCTAGAAGGCAGGAACCTAGGAAGAAACCTAGAGAGGAACCAGGCTCTGAGGGGAAAAACTCCCTAGAAGGCAGGAACCTAGGAAGAAACCTAGAGAGGAACCAGGCTCTGAGGGGAAAAACTCCCTGGAAGGCAGGAACCTAGGAAGAAACCTAGAGAGGAACCAGGCTCAGAGGGGAAAAACTCCCTAGAAGGCAGGAACCTAGGAAGAAACCTAGAGAGGAACCAGGCTCTGAGGGGAAAAACTCCCTAGAAGGCAGGAACCTAGGAAGAAACCTAGAGAGGAACCAGGCTCTGAGGGGAAAAACTCCCTAGAAGGCAGGAACCTAGGAAGAAACCTAGAGAGGAACCAGGCTCTGAGGGGAAAAACTCCCTAGAAGGCAGGAACCTAGGAAGAAACCTAGAGAGGAACCAGGCTCTGAGGAGAAGGTTCACCTCATTGAAGAAGGGGGCGTTGGTGCCCTCCTTGACGGTGGTCTGTTTCTTTTCGTCTCCTATCTCCATGGTTACGCTAGGGTCAATGTTCTCCCCCACCAGCTGTTTGGCCTCTGTGATGTTGATGGCAATCTGGAGGGAACATAATCAGAATCACCTTTATTCGCCAAGTGAAACGGTGCTGCCAGCAACGGACAGACAGAACATAGACAGAGGAATGTCCACATAATACACATGCAGGATTTACAATATGGATACAGTAAACAGAAAAAAAGTACACTTGATAGGAGAGGACATTTACAGTTAAGAATTTACAGATTTCGTCGTACGAGGACAGAACTTAGATGGCAATGTGTCCCAAATAGCTCACAGATGGAGAAGAAGCATCCAGGGGCTATTCCCTCAACACAGAAGTAACAGATACAATATGAATCAATCAGGGCTATTCCCTCAACACGGAAGAAACAGATACAATATGAATCAGTTAATCTACCTGGAAGGTCTGTGGCTTGCTCTCACTGTCCAGAATCTTTGGTCTTAGTTTAGACCTGTGTGGAGTTATTAAAGTTACATTATTACCATGAGTTATACAGTATGAGTTATATGAAGGAGAGAGGAGAGCTAGTTTGAGTCCCAAATGCCACCCACATGCCACCCATAGGGTGCCATTTGGAACAAATACTCTGGGCTCCATTTGAACAAACCAATGGTAAATTTTAGCGCTTGTTGTAATGCTATAGGTTTGAGGGTGTGTCAGAAATATGTTTTAATATTTTTGCTATATTTTCACAACCGGAATTATGGATGCAGTAGCTGGCAGTGGCGTGAAAGGGCTGGGTTTTTGATGAATAAACAAGGTATAGGTATGTCGAGGCTTGACCCCTCACTGGCCAATCAGAACGTGCTCCATGGCTAAGTATGCTGGGTATTTACGGCCTTATATGTTGTCATTAACTACAACTCGAACGGTAGTCTGTTATTGCCTAGTTTATTAAATAGCCTACAGAAACCAAATATGTTTGCTAAATATGTTGAACATGTTTGCAGTCCACACTGTAAGAAGCCTAATCGCATGGCTTCAAAATGGAACAGTATTGACATAGCATTCACACTGATATAGGGGCTAGGCCTACTGTACATTAGCATTATGTCTGCCGTGTCTGAGCCGTGGACACGCCAAACGTTGTCAATAAGCAAGATTAAATTCACTATTGATAAGGCTTAAAAAGAGAGTGAATAATTCGAATCAAATTCGAATCAAAACGAAACAACTTGTTTTAAATAGGCTATGTCTAAATACTGTTACAGTCACCATAATTGCTCCCTGTTGGCATATTAATACAACATAGACTATGGAGGGGTTTTCTGAGCGCCCAACATTTTTTAATATAAATACAGTTTTTTACATAAAAGACTGTAAAAACACCAGCAAATCAGCTCCAAGTGATTTTAATTTTAGAAATCTGTTCCAAAGTATTCCCACGCATAATAGAGAGATATATGTGATTGTACACAAATGTAAGCAAGGTTTTGAAATTATTATGTTTTAGTCAAATAATCTATCTGTTTGGGGCTTCTTGCGGAAAATGTGTAATTACGGTCAGGCCCCTTGACCATCCACTCGAGAAATACTTGGCCCGCGGCTGAATCCAGATGATGATCCCTGCTAGTCATTGCATTCACATTTCGAGAACCACTGCCGTTGATATGGTGACTTTGCCAGGTGAAAGGTAAACAAACACTCCGGCTAATAGCTAAGCGGATTCAGCACCACGGACAACGAAAAACAATAAGCAGTCTTTATTTTTATTTTTTATAACTTGATGTTCCTAAACGGGTTTCCTACAGTCACTGACACCTTTCATGCAACGGGCATCGCCCATAATGAGTCCAAACGTTTCACAGACGCTGGACAGAAATGATGTCCAATAGAAATAAAAAAAGGGGCTGTTGTGCTGCTCATGATATTGTAATAAAACATGGTGACGTACTCAATAAGGCTACTGTGTTTGCTCCTCCTCCGCTAGCTAAATCAATGCCATAACCAATTGCGTTACCGCTAAAGATCAGATTTTGGTCGGTCTTGAATATCCCTAGTTGCCTGACTGAAATGGGCATATTGGCGCTCGTTTTTAAGGACACACCTAAAATATTTCCACCCCTCTCACCTCAGCGCGAGCGAGCTAATGTTAGACAGGTAAATTACCAACGCTGGCATACGGGGTGGACACTTGCGCCTCCTTAGCACCTAAAATACAGCCGGTAATGTTTTTTTTAAAATGTATTTATTCAACATTTATTTAACCAGGAAAATACTCTTGAGGTTAGAAACCTCTTTTTCAAGGGGGACCTGACAAGAGGAAGGAAGTAGGAAGTACTCAGTGTGTACACACAACACACAAAACAATACAACACAACACAATACAATACAATACAACACAATACAATACATTAAACACGTATGTTGTGATGTACCTCTTGGTCTGGGGTAGCTGTCGGACAGGTAAGGTTCCTGGGGAACCAGGCTGACCATCGTCGGGGCGCTGTACTGACGGACCAGGGACCTCAGCATTACCCTCTGGCTCTGTAAGGGCATGACAGAAATCAATCAATCATGTTGATCAACAGTGAAAATACATTGGCAAGGAAACACTCCCTATTATGAAGAAACCTAGAGAGGAACCAGAATCAGAGGGGAGGTCCATCATCCTCTGGTTCAGCTATGGAAGTCAACATGTCATGATGTTCTGAATCTAATGTAACTAGACTGGGCTCCATCTGTATCCGGGGGGAAAATGGCTCTCCATGTTTAAAAGTAGCAGTGACCCATGATGGGTAAATATCGTCTCATGTGTATCCTTAATCCGAGAGTACACAATGCAATACTCCACAAAATACAGAAGCACATGACTGTTTGATCAGGGTTAACTGACTGTATGGATATGGCTTATGGGGCGGGTCCCAAATGGGACCCTATGGGACCCAAATGGGCCCTGGTTGAAGTTAGTGCACTGCGTAGGGAATAGGGTGCCATTTGGGATGCACACATGTCCAATCACAATCTGTTCTTAATGTTCACAGCAGCGTGTTTGTTTTCAAGGACGTACCTAGAGCTCCTTTATTGGCCAAGACAAGACCGGTCGTGTTGACTCTCTTCTTCTTCTTCCCTTTCAGCCCGAAAATCCCCTTCCTGTATAAACATTAGACATGAGACCCCTCCCCTTCCTGTATAAACATTAGACATGAGACCCCTCCCCTTCCTGTATAAACATTAGACATGAGAACCCTCCCCTTCCTGTATAAACATTAGACATTAGACGTGAGACTGAGACCCCTTCCTGTTTAAACATTAGACATCTCCCCTGTATAAACATTAGACATGAGACCCCTCCCCTTCCTGTATAAACATTAGACATGAGACCCCTCCCCTTCCTGTATAAACATTAGACATGAGACCCCTCCCCTTCCTGTATAAACATTAGACATGAGACCCCTCCCCCTTCCTGTATAAACATTAGACATGAGACCCCTCCCCTTCCTGTATAAACATTAGACATGAGACCCCTCCCCTTCCTGTATAAACATTAGACATGAGACCCCTCCCCCTTCCTGTATAAACATTAGACATGAGACCCCTTCCCCTTCCTGTATAAACATTAGACATGAGACCCCTTCCCCTTCCTGTATAAACCTTAGACATGAGACCCCTCCCCTTCCTGTATAAACATTAGACATGAGACCCCTCCCCCTTCCTGTATAAACATTAGACATGAGACCCCTCCCCTTCCTGTATAAACATTAGACATGAGACCCCTTCCCCTTCCTGTATAAACATTAGACATGAGACCCCTCCCCTTCCTGTATAAACATTAGACATGAGACCCCTCTCCCTTCCTGTATAAACATTAGACATGAGACCCCTCCCCCTTCCTGTATAAACATTAGATGTTAGACCCCTCCCCTTCCTGTATAAACATTAGACATGAGACCCCTCTCCCTTCCTGTATAAACATTAGACATGAGACCCCTCCCCTTCCTGTATAAACATTAGACATGAGACCCCTCCCCCTCCCTGTATAAACATTAGATATGAGACCCCTCCCCCTTCCTGTATAAACATTAGACATGAGACCCCTCCCCCTCCCTGTATAAACATTAGACATTAGACGTGAGACCCCTCCCCTTCCTGTATAAACATAAGACATGAGACCCCTCCCCCTCCCTGTATAAACATTAGACATTAGACGTGAGACTGAGACCCCTTCCTGTTTAAACATTAGACATCTCCCCTGTATAAACATTAGACATGAGACCCCTCCCCTTCCTGTATAAACATTAGACATGAGACCCCTCCCCTTCCTGTATAAACATTAGACATGAGACCCCTCCCCTTCCTGTATAAACATTAGACATGAGACCCCTCCCCCTTCCTGTATAAACATTAGACATGAGACCCCTCCCCTTCCTGTATAAACATTAGACATGAGACCCCTTCCCCTTCCTGTATAAACATTAGACATGAGACCCCTCCCACTTCCTGTATAAACATTAGACATGAGACCCCTCCCCTTCCTGTATAAACATTAGACATGAGACCCCTCCCCTTCCTGTATAAACATTAGACATGAGACCCCTTCCCCTTCCTGTATAAACATTAGACATGAGACCCCTCCCCTTCCTGTATAAACATTAGACATGAGACCCCTCCCCCTTCCTGTATAAACATTAGATGTTAGACCCCTCCCCTTCCTGTATAAACATTAGACATGAGACCCCTCTCCTTTCCTGTATAAACATTAGACATGAGACCCCTCCCCTTCCTGTATAAACATTAGACATGAGACCCCTCCCCCTCCCTGTATAAACATTAGATATGAGACCCCTCCCCCTTCCTGTATAAACATTAGACATGAGACCCCTCCCCCTCCCTGTATAAACATTAGACATTAGTTGTGAGACCCCTCCCCTTCCTGTATAAACATAAGACATGAGACCCCTCCCCCTCCCTGTATAAACATTAGACATTAGACGTGAGACTGAGACCCCTAACCTGTTTAAACATTAGACATCTCCCCTGTATAAACATTAGACATGAGACCCCTCCCCTTCCTGTATAAACATTAGACATGAGACCCCTCCCCTTCCTGTATAAACATTAGACATGAGACCCCTCCCCTTCCTGTATAAACATTAGACATGAGACCCCTCCCCCTTCCTGTATAAACATTAGACATGAGACCCCTCCCCTTCCTGTATAAACATTAGACATGAGACCCCTCCCCCTTCCTGTATAAACATTAGACATGAGACCCCTCCCCTTCCTGTATAAACATTAGACATGAGACCCCTCCCCCTTCCTGTATAAACCTTAGACATGAGACCCCTCCCCTTCCTGTATAAACATTAGACATGAGACCCCTCCCCCTTCCTGTATAAACATTAGACATGAGACCCCTCCCCTTCCTGTATAAACATTAGACATGAGACCCCTCCCCCTTCCTGTATAAACATTAGACATGAGACCCCTCCCCTTCCTGTATAAACATTAGACATGAGACCCCTCCCCTTCCTGTATAAACCTTAGACATGAGACCCCTCCCCTTCCTTGTATAAACATTAGACATGAGACCCCTCCCACTTCCTGTATAAACATTAGACATGAGACCCCTCCCCTTCCTGTATAAACATTAGACATGAGACCCCTCCCCTTCCTGTATAAACCTTAGACATGAGACCCCTCCCCTTCCTTGTATAAACATTAGACATGAGACCCCTCCCACTTCCTGTATAAACATTAGACATGAGACCCCTCCCCTTCCTGTATAAACATTAGACATGAGACCCCTCCCCTTCCTGTATAAACATTAGACATGAGACCCCTTCCCCTTCCTGTATAAACATTAGACATGAGACCCCTCCCCTTCCTGTATAAACATTAGACATGAGACCCCTCCCCTTCCTGTATAAACATTAGACATGAGAACCCTCCCCCTCCTTGTATAAACATTAGACTGAGACCCCTTCCTGTATAACCATTAGACATCTCCCCTGTATAAACATTAGACATGAGACCCCTTCCCCTTCCTGTATAAACATTAGACATGAGACCCCTTCCCCTTCCTGTATAAACATTAGACATGAGACCCCTCCCCTTCCTGTATAAACATTAGACATGAGACCCCTCCCCTTCCTGTATAAACATTAGACATGAGAACCCTCCCCCTCCTTGTATAAACATTAGACTGAGACCCCTCCCCCTTCCTGTATAAACATTAGACATGAGAGCCCTCCCCTTCCTGTATAAACATTAGACATGAGACCCCTCCCCCTTCCTGTATAAACATTAGACATTAGACCCCTCCCCTTCCTGTATAAACATTAGACATGAGACCCCTCCCCTTCCTGTATAAACATTAGACGTGAGACTGAGACCCCTTCCTGTATAAACATTAGACATGAGACCCCTCCCCTTCCTGTATAAACATTAGACATGAGACCCCTCCCCTTCCTGTATAAACCTTAGACATGAGACCCCTCCCCTTCCTTGTATAAACATTAGACATGAGACCCCTCCCACTTCCTGTATAAACATTAGACATGAGACCCCTCCCCTTCCTGTATAAACATTAGACATGAGACCCCTCCCCTTCCTGTATAAACATTAGACATGAGACCCCTTCCCCTTCCTGTATAAACATTAGACATGAGACCCCTCCCCTTCCTGTATAAACATTAGACATGAGACCCCTCCCCTTCCTGTATAAACATTAGACATGAGAACCCTCCCCCTCCTTGTATAAACATTAGACTGAGACCCCTCCCCCTTCCTGTATAAACATTAGACATGAGAGCCCTCCCCTTCCTGTATAAACATTAGACATGAGACCCCTCCCCCTTCCTGTATAAACATTAGACATTAGACCCCTCCCCTTCCTGTATAAACATTAGACATGAGACCCCTCCCCTTCCTGTATAAACATTAGACGTGAGACTGAGACCCCTTCCTGTATAAACATTAGACATGAGACCCCTCCCCTTCCTGTATAAACATTAGACATGAGACCCCTCCCCTTCCTGTATAAACCTTAGACATGAGACCCCTCCCCTTCCTTGTATAAACATTAGACATGAGACCCCTCCCACTTCCTGTATAAACATTAGACATGAGACCCCTCCCCTTCCTGTATAAACATTAGACATGAGACCCCTCCCCTTCCTGTATAAACATTAGACATGAGACCCCTTCCCCTTCCTGTATAAACATTAGACATGAGACCCCTCCCCTTCCTGTATAAACATTAGACATGAGACCCCTCCCCTTCCTGTATAAACCTTAGACATGAGACCCCTCCCCTTCCTTGTATAAACATTAGACATGAGACCCCTCCCACTTCCTGTATAAACATTAGACATGAGACCCCTCCCCCTTCCTGTATAAACATTAGACATGAGACCCCTTCCCCTCCCTGTATAAACATTAGACATGAGACCCCTCCCCTTCCTGTATAAACATTAGACATGAGACCCCTCCCCTTCCTGTATAAACATTAGACATGAGACCCCTCCCCTTCCTGTATAAACATTAGACATGAGACCCCTCCCCCTTCCTGTATAAACATTAGACATGAGACCCCTCCCCCTTCCTGTATAAACATTAGACATGAGACCCCTCCCCTTCCTGTATAAACATTAGACATCTCCCCTCCCTGTATACATTTAGTCATTTATCAGACGCTCGTATCCAGAGCGACTTACAGGAGCAATTAGGGTTAAGTACCTCGCTCAAGGGCACATCGACAGATTTTTCACCTAGTCGGCTCGGGGATTAGAACCAGCGACCTTTCGGTTACTGGCACAACGCTCTTAACCACTAAGCTACCCGCCACCCTACAACATTAGACATGAGACCCCTCTCACTCATGAACAGCAATACACCTTAATCACACATAATACATAGGCTACATACCAACGCACATACTGGCCCAGGTTTTCTTTTACTCAGGTAAATAATGCACCCGGTTCAACTAATCAAGGGCTTTGATGACGAGTTGAGTGGTTTAATCAAAAGTGCTAGTGCTGGGCTGGAATAAACACGCGCATCCCTGTGGAGGGGTTGAGAAACACTGTTCCAACTGACATGAGCAATTTGCAGAATTGAAAGTTGTTTTAAGATCATCTCACCTGCCACTGTGACCTGATGGATCCTTATCCATTTCGACAGGAAAATATACCCAGGGGTCACTGGGCACGCTCCCTCCACACCAAGATGTTAACACACTGTCCCGATTCTTGTCCCGATGCTACCAATAACACTTAAAAGCTGCGTAGGATGATCTCCTCTGACACCCGCTCTCTGGTGTCATTTGGCGTGACCAGATGTGTCTGACTGCGATACACCTTCCACTTCGCTGGGCTTCTCTGGTACCCGCCCTTGTTTGACTTTCAGTGGTTTGAATTTTATTTCCTGCATATCGATATTAACCTGCTTGTACTCCTTTTCCTCCCCAGTTCACATGTAGTAAATGACTGAACCAACGGGACAATGTTGAATCCTGTAGCTTTCTCTATTGAGTCTCTCTATTGAGTCTCTCTATTGAGTTTCTCTAATGAGTCTCTCTATTCAGTTTCTCTATTCAGTTTCTCTATTGCAAAGTAGAACAATGATCTTGACATGTAGACTAAATGATCAGATTCAGTTAATCTTTTCAGAATGTAGATAGGACTGGGCTATAGCGGGCCGTTTTCCCGGATCCAGATTAAGCCAGCGCTAAAAATGCTTTTTAAATAGGTCAAGCCTAAGTACAATTTGTGTCCGGGAAACCGCTCCATAAACACCTATACAACTGTGCACTGCCACATACAGCCACATACAGCCACATACTGCCACATACTGCCACATACTGCCACATACTGCCACATACTGCCACATACTGCCACATACTGCCACATACAGCCACATACTGCCACATACTGCCACATACTGCCACATACTGCCACATGTACTGTGTTGTAATTGGGGAAGAAGGTGAAACAAACAACTTACTTGGGTTTGGAATCCATTTGATTATTTCAGGAATGTTGCAGTTTCTCTCGCAGTCTGAAATTGGACAGTTCAAGCACACGGACAGAACATCCTGGACCGAGGTGATATGAGCTAGGAGAACAGCATCTAGACAGACTTGTGGCTGAGTGGTATTGGCTGGTGACATGCTCTTTACTGAGAACAGAAAACAGCCAGACTGTAGCATATGGTGACCCAGACTTTATGATTATGTTATTTGCTCAGGAATCAATCCATGTTCTGATCTGGTTTTATAACTGGGAACAGCTTTACTTTCAAACTCCATTGTTTAAAACAATTCCCCAGTGTAATTTGCATCTAAAAATAAATGCATTGTGAAACTATCACCAGCCCTATACTACTGGTCAAAAGTTTTAGAACACCTACTCATTCCAGGGTTTTTCTTTATTTTTACTATTTTATACATTGTAGAATAATAGTGAAGACGTCAAAACCATGAAATAACACATATGGAATCATGTAGTAACCAAAAAAGTGTTAAACAAATCAAAACATATTTTATATTTGAGATTCTTCAAATAGCCACCCTTTGCCTTGATGACAGCTTTGCACACTCTTGGCATTCTCTCAACCAGCTTCATGAGGTAGTCACCTGGGATGCATTTCAATTAACAGGTGTGCCTTGTTAAAAGTTAATTTGTGGAATTTATTTCCTTCTTAATGTGTTTGAACCAATCAGTTGTGTTGTGACAAGGTAGGGGTGGTATACAGAAGATAGCCCTATTTGGTAAAAGACCAAGTCCATATTATGGCAAGAACAGCTCAAATAAGCAAAGAGAAATGACAGTCCATCATTACTTTAAGACATGAAGGTCAGTCAATGCGGAACATTTCAAGAACTTTGAATGTTTCTTCAAGTGCAGTCGCAAAAACCATCAAGCACTGTGATGAAACTGGCTCTCATGAGGACCGCCACAGGAATGGAATACCCAGAGTTACCTCTGCTGCAGAGGATAAGTTCATTAGAGTTAACTGCACCTCAGATTGCAGCCCAAATAAATGCTTCACGGAGTTCAAGTAACAGACACATCTCAACATCAACTGTTCAGAGGAGACTGTCTGAATCAGGCCTTCATGGTCGAATTGCTGCAAATAAACCACTACTAAAGGACACCAATAATAAGAAGAGACTTGCTTGGGCCAAGAAACATGAGCAATGGACATTAGACTGGTCGAAATTTGTCCTTTGGTCTGATGAGTCCAAATTTGAGATTTTTGGTTCCAACCGCTGTGTCTTTGTGAGACGCTAAGTGGGTGAACGGATGATCTCTGCATGTGTATTTCCCACCATAAAGCATGGAGGAGGTGTTATGGTGTGGGGGTGCTTTGCTGGTGACACTGTCTGTGATATATTTAGAATTCAAGGCACACTTAACCAGCATGGCTACCACAGCATTCTGCAGCGATACGCCATCCCATCTGGTTTGGGCTTAGTGGGACTATCATTTGTTTTTCAACAGGACAATGACCCTGCACACCTCCAGGCTGTGTAAGGGCTATTTTACCAAGAAGGAGAGTCATGGAGTGCTGCATCAGATGACCTGGCCTCCACAATCCCCCGACTTCAACCCACTTAAGATGGTTTGGGATGAGTCGGACCGCAGAGTGAAAGAAAAGCAGCCAACAAGTACTCAGCATATGTGGGAACTCCTTCAAGACTGTTGGAAAAGCATTCCAGGTGAAGCTGGTTGAGAGAATGCCAAGAGTGTGCAAAGCTGTCATCAAGGCAACGGATGGCTATTTGAAGAATCTGAAATATGAAATATATTTTGATTTGTTTAACAGTTTATTGGTTACTACATGATTCCATATGTGTTATTTCATAGTTTTGATGTCTTCACTGTTATTCTACAATGTAGAAAATAGTAAAAATATAGAAAAACCCTTGAATGAGTAGGTGTTGTAAAACTTTTGACCGGTAGTGTATGTATTCTATAAGTCAACAGAAGATAAATTGGCAGCAGGCCACCTGAAGTTGTTTACACATTATGGTGAACAGGATCCAGAAACTGGCAGTGAACACACCCCTGGTAAACACAGCTCAACTCACAAACATGACACACCAAGGGGCCAATAAATGATTCTGACATCTCAACATGAGGGACAGAGAGGCTGTTTTGGGAACTTGATCACATGTAGCTCATTGGCTGTAGTGTTGAATAAATATTACTGAACACAAATATAAAAGGCAACGTGCAACAATTTCTAAGATTTTACTCAATTACAGTACAGGCAATCCGTCAATTGAAATACATTCATTAGGCGCAGCCATGGGTGGGCCTGGGAGGGCATAGGCCCACTCGCCTGGCAGCCAGGCCCACCCACTGGGGAGCCAGACCCAGCCAATCAGAATGATTCTTTCCCCACAAAAGTGGTTTATTGCAGAGCCTAACCCCCCCCCCTTCCCGTGTAATGATCATGCTGTTTAATCAGCTTCTTGATTTGCCACACCTGTCAGGTGGATGGATTATCTTGGCAAAGGAGAAATGCTCACTAACAGGGTTGCAAACAAATTTCTTCACAAAATGTGCGTATGGAAAACGTCTGGGATTTTTTATTTCAGCTCATGAAACATGGGACCAACACTTTACATGTTGCGTTTATATATTTGTTCAGTGTAGTTAGGTAATACTTTACATTACAGTGGCGGAGGGTTAGGGTTAGGCAGTACACTGAAGCCTAATCAGCACTGCATACCAATCCAGCATCCTGGCATCGACTAGGCGGTCGCCTAATGCACTGCATGCCAATCCAGCATCCTGGCATCGACTAGGCGGTCGCCTAATGCACTGCATGCCAATCCAGCATCCTGGCATCGACTAGGCGGTCGCCTAATGCACTGCATGCCAATCCAGCATCCTGGCATCGACTAGGCGGTCGCCTAATGCACTGCATGCCAATCCAGCATCCTGGCATCGACTAGGCGGTCGCCTAATGCACTGCATGCCAATCCAGCATCCTGGCATCGACTAGGCGGTCGCCTAATGCACTGCATACCAATCCAGCATCCTGGCATCGACTAGGCGGTCGCCTAATGCACTGCATGCCAATCCAGCATCCTGGCATCGACTAGGCGGTCGCCTAATGCACTGCATACCAATCCAGCATCCTGGCATCGACTAGGCGGTCGCCTATTGCACTGCATGCCAATCCAGCATCCTGGCATCGACTAGGCGGTCGCCTAATGCACTGCATGCCAATCCAGCATCCTGGCATCGACTAGGCGGTCGCCTAATGCACTGCATGCCAATCCAGCATCCTGGCATCGACTAGGCGGTCGCCTAATGCACTGCATGCCAATCCAGCATCCTGGCATCGACTAGGCGGTCGCCTAATGCACTGCATGCCAATCCAGCATCCTGGCATCGACTAGGCGGTCGCCTAATGCACTGCATACCAATCCAGCATCCTGGCATCGACTAGGCGGTCGCCTATTGCACTGCATACCAATCCAGCATCCTGGCATCGACTAGGCGGTCGCCTAATGCACTGCATGCCAATCCAGCATCCTGGCATCGACTAGGCGGTCGCCTAATGCACTGCATGCCAATCCAGCATCCTGGCATCGACTAGGCGGTCGCCTAATGCACTGCATGCCAATCCAGCATCCTGGCATCGACTAGACGGTCGCCTAATGCACTGCATGCCAATCCAGCATCCTGGCATCGACTAGGCGGTCGCCTAATGCACTGCATGCCAATCCAGCATCCTGGCATCGACTAGGCGGTCGCCTAATGCACTGCATACCAATCCAGCATCCTGGCATCGACTAGGCGGTCGCCTATTGCACTGCATACCAATCCAGCATCCTGGCATCGACTAGGCGGTCGCCTAATGCACTGCATGCCAATCCAGCATCCTGGCATCGACTAGGCGGTCGCCTAATGCACTGCATGCCAATCCAGCATCCTGGCATCGACTAGGCGGTCGCCTAATGCACTGCATGCCAATCCAGCATCCTGGCATCGACTAGGCGGTCATCTAATGCACTGCATACCAATCCAGCATCCTGGCATTGACTAGGCGGTCGCCTAATATACTGCATAACAATCCAGCATCCTGACATCAACTTTTGCAGAGGGGCTCACTTTTCCACCATAATTTGCAAATAAATTCATTAAAAATCCTACA